TGACAAATACACTTTTGTGAAGGGTCTGGAGTCTGCAGTAGCCAGAAATCACCTCAAATTACTTAAAGCCCCAAATGGAATTTTCTGACATATAACTGGTAAGAATTTTTTATGAGTTCGCAGAATGAAGAAACTGCAGGACCTCAGGTCCTGGGACTGGGCACTCAGCAATCTCTTTTTTCATCCATTTTTCTCTCCTGCTTTCATCTGTTTTGTTTTGGGTGCTGACCTCATTCTCTCCTAGTGTGGACAGGCCTTTCAACACGGAGGGGAGCAACCTCAGGTGAAACAGAGAATGCTGATTTTAACATATTTAAATGTTGATTTTCCAAATGGCTTTTGTCCCTGCTTAGGTCATGTGTCCGTCCTTTGGACCAGTCACTGTTATCAGCAGTGGGGTTTACTAAAAGTGGCCATATCTAGGGTTTCAGTCTACTTAAATGGCCTGGGTGGTGGTACAATGTTCAGAATCTATGACTTTAAGAGAAGAGTTAGGGAAGTTCATTGGGAAGAGCAGAAATAATAACCATCATTTAGCAAATGTTTACTGAATCTTTCTCCTCAGGCACTCTTTTAGGCATTAGGGATATAACATTACAAAACAGATGGATCTTCCTATCTTCATGGAGCTTTCATTCTAGTGGAAAGGCAGAAACTAAAGAAGATAAGTAAAACGTATAGCATATTGGCTGTTATAAGTACTAGGAAGAAAAAAATAAAGCAGGAAAGTGGAGAAAGAAGAATCTGTGGGGAGGAGTGGCCAGGGAAAAACTCACTGATAAGAAGGTGGCTTTTAAATAAAGATCTAAAGAAAGAGGAAGTGAGGGAGGAAGAGAACTGTGCAGACCTTCTATTCAAAGGCAATAGCAAGTGTAAAGGTCTTGATGTAAGAGTGTGCCTGGAGGACATGGAAGCTGGAGTGGCGGGTTTGGACAAGCCTGAGAGAGGGCAGTAGGAAATAAGGTCAGGGAGCTGATAGCAAGCCAAATACTGCTGGGGTTCTGGCTTGTCATAAAGACATTGCCTTCTCTCTTAATGAAACAGGGGCCAATAGAGGGTTTTGAGCAGAGGAGAGATATGATCTGACTCCTGATTTGACTTCTGGCTGCTTTGGTGAGTAGACTGGAGGCAGGGGCAGAAGCAGATAATACATCCAAGAAGCCAGTGTCGTAATCCAGAAAAAAAATGATCGTAACATGGACAAGAGTGGTGGTAGTGAAGATGGTGAGAAAAGGTCAGATTCTGGATATATTTCGAATACAGATCCAACAGGATTGGCTGATAGAAAGGACATGGGTATGCGAGGAAGAGAAGTGGTGAAGATGACAGCAAAGTTTTGGCCTGAGTGTCGGAAGAATGGAGTTGCCATTAACCAGATGAGGAAGACTGCAGTGAGAGCTAGTTTGAAGGGACTATCAGGGGGCTCAGTTTGGGGTGTGTGAAGTTTGAAATGTCTATTAGATGTTGTAGGTTTGGGGCTCAGGGAAGAGGTCCTGAATAAAGATATAAATTCATCTTTGATAAATGAGTCATCAGCATATAGATGGTATTTAAAAACATAGGACTCAGTGAGATCCTCCAGAGAGTGTGTGTAGAGAGAAAAGAGACATCTAAAGACTGATGTCTGGGGCACCTTAGGTACCACACATTTTTATTTTAGAATAACCGTTAGTTTCTCTGAGAACACTTGTATTCCAGAAGCACAGTATGAGATATGCTGATCTAAAAAAACTTATCTTTACAAGTACTTTTCTCCAGAGCATATAGAATGCAGTTTATTTCCTTTGGCTTTTAAAAATAGACACTTAATTTTCCAAGGTTGTACAGTAATCTCAATAAAGGTAAAACAGTACATTTTGTGGAAGTATCTAATTGACTGGGGTATTCTGCATACGTTGAGTCAGGTAGTGGCTTAGTGACAGCGGACATAGTAGATTCTAAAATAACCTTTAAAAACTCTCTAACTTCCTTGGATATTTGAGGGTCTTTTGGTCTGATTTTTAGTGCTACAGAGTTCATTTCTTCTGTTCAAAATATTTAGTGGAGCTAAATGATGTGCAAAGTAGGTGTTCAGTACAATGAGGGGTAGACTGTTTTAACCCTCAAGAAACTCAGGGGAAAAATTTAAACATGAACAAAAGCGTGATTCGGAAATGAGGACTCTGGAGTTCCCAAGGAAGTGGGCTGAGAAGGTGGAAAGGCTTGAGGTGAGCTCTGAAGGATGTTTAGAAAAGGTAGAAATGAGGAAAGGGCAGTTTTTGAAAATAACTGTGGGAGTCTAAGTATATAAAAAAGAGGTGGATTATGATCAGATTACCTGCCTAACTAGAAGAAAGACTGCTGGAGAGAATGTGAAGTAAAATCAGATTATTATAGAGCTTCGAGTCCAGTGTTGGTAATTGGAATTCTCTGGAAAAGAGTGTTTGAGGACAGTTACGCTAGCTGTGATATTTTGTTATGCATTTGGGCCACTTGGCCATACCCCATGGTCTACTCTGTGTATAGAGAACAGTTCATTACTGTAACTTAGGCCATGATAACAGTTTTGGCAATTTGATGTTTTTTAGACCCTTCCCATAGCTGCTCTATTCATACCTGTAAAATGTAAACAATTTTTTTTTTCATATTAGCATTTCTTGGAGAATTAATGGTATAAACTTCAGAAAAAATTTCTTACTGCTTAGAAGTAATGTTTCTAACATCTAAAAATATATATCTTGCCTTTGCTTTTTTAAATTTTAGTTTCCATTAAATTATTAGCCCCAACTTCCTTTTTTTTTCTTATATGCAGTACCAAATTAAGGAAAAAGATCCCATAAAAATGTTACTGAGGATGATGGAGTATTAGGGATTAGTTCTCATGACTCTTATTTTCCGTTATTAAGAACTCTTTAAATGGAAATTGAAAATAAATTGTTACTAATAACTTTTTTATTAATGGGGAAAATTGGGCCATGCCTGCCACTTCCATCTCAGCAATAATCCATGGCACAGCATACTAAGAGCGCTGGTAACTTTTGACTTGATGGGAGAGACATTTATATTGATAATAAGTAAATGTCAGAAGTCTCCTTTTCACATGGTCCGGCAAAATTTTTATCTCTATTCTTCGATGATTGTTGAAGTGTTTTCCTTGTGCTGTGGGAGGCATTTTCCACTCACTGAAGGATGCCTAAATAATCCTCTTCTAAGCAGGAGTTGGGGAGAGAGGGGAAAGTAAGGAACGACACCTATTAGGTAAACTTTTAAAGTGACTGTATTTAAGCAACCTTCACTCTTCAAGAAAACCATTTTATACTTTTACCACTGTCCTCAAACTCCCACATACACCCCTCTCCTCCTCAGCATCAGCTCCCTTATATATCACTGCAGAAATATGAGTCCTTGGAAGGCCTCATCTTCACCCCACCAAATCTCCCAGACTACCCCCATCCGTACCCACATAGTCTGCCTTCCTTTGTTAGGTTTGATAAACTCTCTGTGTTCCTATCTGAAGCTAATCCTGCCACTCGTGATGTGGATATAGTCTCTTCTCAATAGTTCAGGGTTGCTTGAGTGGCTTATGAAGTTATCCCCTATCTCTCCTGCAGGAATAATCTGTCTCTATTAGACAATCTCATTAACATTCCAAAGTGTTATCATATTTCTCATTTTAAAAAATCACCTATTTTATGCCTTCTTGCACCCACCTCCCTATTTCTTGGCTTTTCTTGGTAGCAACATTTCTTAAAATAATTATCCCCACTCCCTCTCTCCATTTCTTCTCTTCTCATTTTTTTAACCAGGCACCCTGGTGTTCACTGTAACAGCTCTCGTCAGGATCACCCCACACCTCTATTTTGCCCAGTTCATCAGTCCATTCTTAGTTCTCATCTTGTTTCAGCTTTCAGCAGCCTTTGACTCAGCTGATACACTTTCCTTATCGAGCCCTTTCTTCACCTGACTATTGTGAAGTTCTGGATTTCCTCTTGCCTCCCTGACTGCTCTTTCCCAGTGTCCTCTGCCAATAGCTTCTCCCATTTCTGTAAAAGTTAGAGTGGTCCAGGGTTCAGATCTTATCCCTTTCCTTTATCTATACCCATTCCCAAGCTTGTGTCATCCTGTCCCATGGTCTTAAATGTTGTTTATATGATGATACCTCCTAAAGTTGTGTCTTTCTACTTCACCTTTCCACTTGGACTTTTAGTAGGCAAGTCCACCCAAAACATACAGAACTCCTTAATATGGCCTGCAAGGCCCTTACCACCTGGTCTCCGCCTGCTCCCTCCTCCTTACCCCCTCCGCCAACCCCTTACCTATGCGGCTTTATTTGCTGCTGTTTTTTCTCCATTGTTCCTTCAGCTGCCATCACACATACCTTCTTATTATTGCTCCACCTGCCAAGCTCTTTCCCATTTCAGAGGCTTTGCACTTGCTGTTCCCTTTGCCCAGAATGTTCTTTGCATGGCTTTTCCTCTCACTCCAATGTCAAATGTATTTTTTCAGAGGCCTTCCCTGACCACCCTGTGTAAAAGAGTACTCTCTTATCAGTTTTTTTCTTAGCACTTATTATTACTTTAAATCATATTTTATTTCTCCCCTGCTAGAATGTGAGCCTAAGGAGGACATGTAGTTAGTTGATGTCTCCCTTTATCCTTAGGGCTTAGATCAGTGCCTGGCTCCTAGTAGACTCTCAACACTTGTTTATTGATTTAGTGAATCGATAAGTGAATTGTTTTATATGTAAACATCATTTTACATGTAAATTATGTGATTATACCATCGATATTTTTGAATCTAAAGTACAGAGCTATGTTTATGATAATAGAATGGTGACACATAACAGAAAAATGGCTATAGCTAAGGGACTGTTGTGTGTAGACTCATATAAAGGAATTCTCTTAAATGATATATGGAATGTTTCTTCTTGTTTCCTTCTCTGGAAATAAGGTGTATTTTTGTTTGTATGTTTTTTGTTTTGTTTTGTTTTGTTTTGTTTTGTTTTGACTCTCCCCATGCAGCTGAAGAACAAGTTCATGAAAAAGCTGCCCCGTGACGCAGAAGCCTCTAACGTGCTCGTTGGGGAGGTCGACTTCTTGGATGGGCCTTTCATTGCCTTTGTCCGGCTACAGCAGGCAGTCATGCTGGGCGCCCTGACCGAAGTCCCTGTGCCCACGAGGTAAGCTGGTCCCTGAGCCGCTGGGGCCTACGGTGTGGTTATAGGGAAATCTCCTCTTCCTCAGTCTAGAGAATAGAGAAACTGGGGATACATCTAGAGAAAGCGTATAGGAAAGTTTTAATGGGAAGTAATGGTTTCGTCTGACTTTCATGCTATCATATTATTTGACACTCATATAGTCGTAATAATAATAACAATTAAAATAATTTATTGGGTTTCTTCGTATGGATTAGTCTATTTAATCCTCACAATAATATTTTTTAAGTATGAACTACAAGTATGCAGATTTTACAGGTGAAGAAACTGAGCCTGAGAGTTCGAGTAACTCGTCCAAGGTCATACAGATGGTAATTGGTTCAGAGGTCAGAGTTGCTTTCATTTGCTCTGTTTTATCATAAAATCGGTAGTATAATTATATATATGTATATGTGCACACACTTGTAAAAATTATAAATCTCTAACCTTAAATTTGCACTTTTACTCTTATGTGTTATGTCACATAAATTTTTATTTTAAAAAGAAGCATATTACTGTTACTATAATCATGTATTCAATATACTTCACAGTAACTTTAAACTTGTCCTGTTTATCTCCCTCTGCAACTGTGCTCAGTGGAGTTAGGAAGCTTGACTTACAGAATGTAATAGGTGAATAGAAATTAATGCTTCACTTAAACTTAAGCAGAAGAGTTTAAAGAGAAGCTTATAATCTTCAGGTTGGCATCAGAAAATTATCATATGAATAGGAACTTTTTTGGTTGTGTGTGTGTGTGTGCTTTTCGTGGGTCCCAGGGCAAGGAAAGGTGACTTTTCTCTTCTTTAGGTTTCCCCAGGTGAGCAGAAAGGGCTGTGAATTCCCAGTGATCTCAGATGGTCCAAGCATGATTAACTGACAAAGACAAAGGGCTCAAGGTTTGTTTTGAGCCAAATTAAGAGGAAAATTAGGAGAACATTTTCTATGGCCTCTGAATTCATAGATTATAGAATATACTTTCTGATCATATGGGTATTCCTTCCTCATTTTTATATTTCTTAGACACTTAAAATAGGAATGATACTTGTCATCATTAGGCAGTCATTGAACAATAGCAGAAGAAAGGAGACAATCATAGTTTATTTAATTAATGGGATTATCATGATGTGTGTTTTCTGTAACTTTGCTTTTTGCTTGAAAACATGTCAGCAGAGTCTTCGAATTCTATCTGAGCAATCACCTGGTAAATAGCTAGCTGACTCAGATCATGGCTGACGTCCAGCTCGTGTGTCCCTATGGTTTTATTTATGTCTCTTTGGACTAACTTTACTGGAGCTTGAAAGAAAATAAAACACATGCCAAGAAGTGTTAAATTACTCTTGCTTTTCCATGTTTATTATTATTTTTCTTTAGAAGCTACAAATAAAAAAATATTTTCAAAGGCTTTTTATGTAACAATAGAATGAGTTTATTGAGTAGCAAATTATGACCATTTTTGTATCCCTGTTATCATCTGCTTCTGCCTGATTCATTCTTTTCTTCTGTACTGGAGCGGGCACTAGTCTAGAAGTGAAATATAGCATCGTTTGAATTAACGAAAGAAGCCCAGCAGTTCGAGGGAATGTAATTCAATAATGTCATAAAACTATTTCTGGGCAATAATCTGAACAATATATCCTAGCATGTTAACATTTTTCCAGGAAATAGTTTTATCCATTTGCTGTCCTCTGAACCAGTGCGAACTGTAATCACTGAGTAGGGAGTCTCATTAGCTTTTTTGTGTATGAGTAATATGGGGCCATTTACAATGGCTGCATCCTGTGAAATCAAATAAAGGAAATCCCGCGAGGAATGTGGTAGTTGTGAAGGACTGCCTCTGCACTCTGCGATATGCTTTACCTTACACGCTACTCTGTAGTACTGCAGGAAGACCTAAAGAGTCTGTTTTTGTGCACATCTTGTAATGATCATTTTTCCTTTTGAAGGTAGAGGAAAGTTATGCTCTTATGCTTATTATTATTAATTATTATTTATAATAAGCAGTATGACTACTATACATGATTCAGGAGTGTAGCTCTAGGAGTTCCCTTGTGTAGAGTTCACAAGTTTCTTTATTTACTCTGTTACTTGATTGATCTATTTTAGCTTTATGCTTATAGCTGGACTGCTACCAACTGGGTGGATGTTATCTAGTTAGGGGCCCTTCTAACTATCCATGTGAAAGCAAACAAACTCTGTTTTTTGATCTTTGGCCACTTGGTAGGATGTGTTTATGATTTTTTTCTAGTACCTTGCTCATACCTTACTTGCTGTCATCTTTATCTGTCAATAGGCTACCGCTAACTCATACCTATGAGCTATGTAGAAGATAAATATTGTTATTCCCACTTTACAGTGGAGAGTTAGAGGCAGAGGGAAGATTTACTGTGAGTGCTAGAAATAAATTGCAAACTTCTGACCCTGACACCAGGTTTTAGAGAGATTCTAAGGAGATCCATAGAGTGGTTTGGAATAAAGTACTTTAGGGTTTTCCTATGAAGAGTAATAAAAGCCCTCATCTGTTTGTGTCTTTCTGACTTTGATATTCACATCTAAGGCAAATTCAGAGAGTTCTAGCCCTCTAAACAATTACCTCTTTAGTTTCACTGTGAGTTAGTATATATTTTATGTTATAAATGATTATTTGTCAAAAGAAATAGTTTGTGCTTAATTATCAAAACCATAAAACATTCTATTAGAGGGACTGGGATGGAGGTCCTGCCACTTCAATTCTGTCTTATCCAGCAATCCAGTTGCTTGCTGTTTGTATAAGTAATGTGCTTGGTTGTGGTAGGTTCGTAGTCCTCATGAATCTATTGTGGAAGCTACAGTTTAGCTCTATTTTCTAAAGCTGCTAAATATGAATAATGGATTATTTGATTCACTGTTGTTTTGAGAGAAGGGAGTAAAGATTGATACATGCTGAGTTTATTCTAGAAATAGCTGTGATATATCAGGAAGGAGGGGGGTGCACATCCTTTTTAAAAAGATTGAGTGGTTTAGGAAGGCTGGCTCCTTTTCTGATATTATGCTCTGTTTCTGGCTATAATTATTTTGTGAATGTGAGTATAGTCCATTGGTTCCGGACACAGATCATCTGGCACTTATTTTTGTTGTGGAAAATTCTAAAGGCATCCTCCCCAGGCATAATCAGTTATATGAAAAAGCTCACAAGAGTGGAAGAACCTTATGAAGAATCTAGAGACTACTAGGCATGTTAAAAATTCTAACTCTGACATTTCTAGTTATGAGTGAATGAAAAAACGCAATAACATAAATTATTTTTTCCCTGACCTGTCAACATGAGCTGTGCCCTTCCAGCCACACAAATGTGATGTTTACTCTAATTTATTAATAAAGAAAAAAGTTTCTGGTTAAAAATAACATTTGTCCATTGACAAAAAACAGCTTGGGTTGTGAAAGGAGTTTTCAGTACATTGTAAAAGCTGAGTTTGGCAAGATGTATGTCCATTATAAAAGTTGTAACAGCTATTGCTTCTTTGAGGGTTATAGGGGAGAGAACACGTTTCAAGCAGAAGGACCTTCAACTCGATGAGTTGTTCTGTGTTGTTAGTTTTTCCAGATCTTTCATCCCTATTTCAACAGTGCAGCCCAAATTAGAGGCTTCTTAAGGGCTTCTGTTCCTATGGATGAAATTCTTGACCAGAGATGATGCTTCCTGCTACTTATAGGTGGCCAGATTTCCTTTCTTCCTCTCTACATCATTTTAACGAGGTAGATTACTGAGTGGTTCCTGACTGACATTATGTGAAAATTTTAACTGCTAGGTAATGTTTTTATATATAT